GTTGTGTATTTGTGAACTAAGGTCTTTGAAAATGTAATAAGTTTTACGAAACGCGCTCGTGTCGCGTCAGACTAGAAATAAAAATGAATTTTGGAGAATTGATTTTTGATTTACCTCCAACAGTGAAACAAAATGTACGAAAGATTGAGAAAATTCGTGTTAGAATTATTAATCTTACTTTTTCGGTCATATTTAATAATATATAGATATATGTGTGTATATATATATGTATATATAGATATATGTGTGTATATATATATGTATATATATAGATATATGTGTATATATATATATGTATATATATACTATTGTAAATAATGCCAGTATCTCTCGACATACAGACGTGATAAAAAGCTGAGAGTACAAACCTTATGCCAATAAAACAGGGTATTACAGTTTACCGACCAATTAACCTGAGACACCGGCCAAACACACCTGTTCCTCGGCTAATTTAGCGCTCCAAGCGACTTAGTTTACCTGGGGATTTTTGTTACCTATTTCTGAGAGGTTGAAATCGCCCATAACTAAGATTTTTATTGTGTGTTTATGTGTATATTCACCTAGTTGTTCATGCGGGGGTTGAGCTTTGGCTCTTTGGTCCCGCCTCTCAACCGTCAATCAACTGGTGTACAGATTCCTGAGCCTACTGGGCTCCATCATATCTACATTTGAAACTGTGTATGGAGTCAACCTCCACCACATCACTGTCTAATGCATTCCATCCGCTAACTACTCTGACACTGAAAAAGTTCCTTCCAACGTGTGTGTGTGTGTACTCACCTATTTGTGCTTGCGGGGGTTGAGCTTTGGCTCTTTGGTCCCGCAATTGTGTGTGTGTGTGTGTGTGTGTGTGTGTGTGTGTGTGTGTGTGTGTGTGTGTGTGTGTGTCAATTTGGGACGTGAGGTCTTGCTCTGTACGCTCTACCTTGCTATACCTGCTGTGTAATAATTAAACTAATCTGAGGTTCGTGTGTCTGTGTGTTCTCCTATTTGTGGCAGCCGGATTGAATTTCGGTTCTTGGACCTTCGTCTCCTGTTGCAGGTTATCGAATACAGTATCTCCTAATTAATATTTGTTTTTCCTATATTATCTATTTTGACAATTTGAATGGAGTTGGCTTCTATCATCTCACTGCTTCAACTGTATCACGGAGCCTCGAACTATGTACTCTGATGTTGTGGTAGTTACGATGAAAAATGTCTTCTAAGTCCCACTTCCCTGTCAATGCTAATAAGTACTTCAGTACTCTGTCTCCTGTACCCTCTCTCTCTCTCTCTCTCTCTCTCTCTCTCTCTCTCTCTCTCTCTCTCTCTCTCTCTCTCTCTCTCTCTCTCTCTCTCTCTCTCTCTCTCTCTCTCTCTCTCTCTCTCTCTCTCTCTCTCTCTCTCTCTCTCTCTCTCTCTCTCTCTCTCTCTCTCTCTCTCTCTCTCTCTCTCTCTCTCTCTCTCACTCTCTCTCTCGTCTTTCCTAATGTCCTTATGACCTGCTCTTTCAGTCTATCAGCATACGCCATCCCATGTAATTCTGAGGCAAGCCTCGTTGCACACACCTTTATATCTTTTAAAGTTTTCTTATACGATTTTTAAGGTGGGGGCCTCCACGGCAGGGCTGCATACTTGAAGACTAGTCCCACGTACGTTTTGTACAAATATTTGAAAAGTCTTCTTACTAAGGTTCTTGAAGGTTGTACTAAGGTTCTCCAGTTGAGAGAATGTTGGTGTTATGGCTACTCTAAGTGGCTTGGGGGAAGCAGTTTCCGTTCAACATGTACCTTCTTTCTGGGTTTCTTTTTTGCCTGTTGCATCGCCATACTCTTGCTGGTACTACTATATATTGCACTTGGGAGGAGTGTCAAAGGATTAGGAGCTGGGATATGACGTAATGAAGTGACAGCTCCAACTACTTGGAACGTCGAGGATCGAGTACAGACCTGCAAGAACCGCTGCATCTTCTCTAGGTTGTCTTTTAAGTAATGTTATAATATTCGTCTGCCTCAACTGTTTTGATTCATTTTTGGATCTTCCGCTTATATTGACATTTAGGAGTCAACTTCTCCCGTGGTTAGATCTATTATATAGATTATATTATTTATCTATTATATGTATATATATATATATATCTATTATATATAAATGGATCTATTTTATTAAATAGATTTAAATAGATAATAGATCATATTTTATTAAATAGAATATAATATTTTTATTTTTATAGTGTATTATCTTTGTTTATCCTTTCCAAACGCTGTTGCAATTTTTCGATTCTCTTTTATCTTCTGTTCTCTGACTTTCTTCACTTCTGTTTTTTTTATTATTCTAGGCCTCGTCTGTTGTATTATTGGCTGGTATAGTCCTTCACTCCCTTGTTCCTTATTGACGGTATGAATTGCTCCTAAACCTCTGTATCATCATCAGCATTTAACTTGCACAACCATTTCATGAATTGTCCTTTCCTAAGCTCTTCCTCTCATTGTGTATGTGTGATGATGGGGGGGTTATCTTGAGATATCTTGAGATGATTTTGGGGCTTTAGTGTCCCCGCGGCCCGGTCTTCGACCAGGCTTCCACCCCCAGGAAGCAGCCCGTGACAGCTGACTGACACCTAGGTACCTATTTTACTGCTAGGTAACAGGGGCTTAGGGTGAAAGAAGCTCTGTCCATTGTTTCTCGCCGGCGCCCGGGATCGAACCCGGGGACCACAGGATCACAAGTCCAGCGTGCTGTCCGCTCGGCCGACCGGCTTCATTTATACGATTTTTATTAATCGGGTTGGTAAGGGATACGAATGGAGAAGCTAGGGAGATGGAAGAAGATAGAGGGGAGATGGGGAAGGAAATAGGATGTTGAGGGGACTATCGGGATGGAGAGAGAAAAAAAAGATATGTATACACATCCTTACAAAACTGAAATATTCTTACGAAATCATTTCCTCAAAAATAACAAAAAAAATGGAAGCTGGAGTGATCTTCGGTCTGAAAGTTTGGGGGGCAAATGTCGGGTGCATTATCGGAATACTCGTAAGTCGCAAGATGTTTCTCGGGATACAAACCTGTGTCAAGTCATTCACGTATTGCAAGACACATTTCCGGGAGACCCCCGAAAGCCTGCAGCTTCCGATAATGTTCCCAACAACTTTTGGTCTTTTCGAAACCGGCACGTTGAGGAATTTTCTGCAGCTGAAAAGAGAGAGGATGGATATTTATTTCACACACACACACACACGCACGCACACACACACACACACACACACACACACACACACACACACACACCACAGGTGGAAACTGAGTACCCACATGAGCCACAGGGACGTTAGAAATAACTTTTTCAGTGTCAGAGTATTTAACGGATGGAATGTATTAGGCAGTGATGTGGTGGAGGCTGACTCCATACACAGTTTCAAATGTAGATATGATAGAGCCCAGTAGGCTCAGGAATCTTTACACCAGTTGATTGACAGTTGAGAGGCGGGACCAAAGAGCCAAAGCTCAACCCCCGCAAGCACAACTAGATAAGTACACACACACACACACACACACACACACACACACACACACACACACACACACACACACACACACACACACACACACACACACACACAGCCTGCGGCTAGAAAGGCAGGATCCAAGAGCTAATGCCCAACCCTACCGGGACAAATAGATGAGTACACAACCACATACACTAAACTGACGTTCATAAATATTGAAATTCCAAACTGACATGATGTTCAGCTTAGAAATTCGCCGTTTGGTGAAGACGTTTGATATAAAATAGCCGAAATAGATCTAAATCAATATTGTGGTCATTTTCTCTCAAGTGAAAGGAACCTTTGCTTTAATAATTCCTCCTCTCTGATATTCATCGTCTGTTCGTAAATATATTTGCCCGTATATCTCCCCGTTTACCAGAATACTGTTTATCGAGACATTACTCCGGTAGGGAAATATAAATTCTCTTATCGTGACTGCCGTTTGGCAAGGTTTGGTGGTCAATCCGTTGATATACAACAGAATACACCAGCTCCTTAACCCTTAAACTGCGCAAGTTTCGATAAATCAAATGGAAGAAATTCACAGATTTCCCACATCTCTGGAAGGCCTAAGATAAGTATCGTGCGTAATTCCATGCGTTACAAGCGACGCAGAGATGCGTTTACGAGCGTTGTATTGCGTAAATTGTACGCATTTACATTTCCCATTTAAACGGATGAAAATATCACAGGTTGTAATTGCTTTTAGGGCGATAAGGTTTGCAACTGGAGATTGCCTGGGCGAACACACAGCTTCTCCGGGATGGTAAACCGTCTTGAGTACTTGTGTGAAGCTGTTTATTTAAGTACTCTGAGTGAAGCTGTTTGTTTCAGTACCCTGAGTGAAGCTGTTTGTTTCGGTTCCCTGAGTGAAGCTGTTTGTGTCGGTTCCCTGAGTGAAGCTGTTTGTTTCGGTTCCCTGAGTGAAGCTGTTTGTTTCAGTACCCTGAGTGAAGCTGTTTGTTTCAATATCCTGAGTGAAGCTGTTTGTTTCAGTACCTGGAGTGAAGCTGTTTGTTTCAATACCCCCTGAGTGAAGCTGTTTGTTTCAGTACCCTGAGTGAAGCTGTTTGTTTCAATATTCTGAGTGAAGCTGTTTGTTTCAATATCCTGAGTGAAGCTGTTTGTTTCAGTACCCTGAGTGAAGCTGTTTGTTTCAATATTCTGAGTGAAGCTGTTTGTTTCAATATCCTGAGTGAAGCTGTTTGTTTCAGTACCCTGAATGAAGCTTTTTGTTTCAGTACCCTGAATGAAGCTGTTTGTTTCAATACCCCCTGAGTGATGCTGTTTGTTTCAATATCCTGAGTGAAGCTGTTTGTTTCAGTACCCTGAGTGAAGCTGTTTGTTTCAGTACCTAGAGTGAAGCTGTTTGTTTCAGTACCCTGAGTGAAGCTGTTTGTTCCAGTACCCTGAGTGAAGCTGTTTGTTTCAGTACCCTGAATGAAGCCTTTTTTTTTGAGGACACAATATGAAGGTGGTTGAGAATTCTCAAGAGCCCCACACAGAAGAGCCCCACACAGAAGAGCCCCACACAGAAGAGCCCCACACAGAAGAGCCCCACACAGAAGAGCCCCACACAGAAGAGCCCCACACAGAAGAGCCCCACACAGAAGAGCCCCACACAGAAGAGCCCCACACAGAAGAGCCCCACACACAAGAGCCCCACACAGAAGAGCCCCACACAGAAGAGCCCCACACAGAAGAGCCCCACACACAAGAGCCCCACACAGAAGAGCCCCACACAGAAGAGCCCCACACAGAAGAGCCCCACACAGAAGAGCCCCACACAGAAGAGCCCCACACAGAAGAGCCCCACACAGAAGAGCCCCACACAGAAGAGCCCCACACAGAAGAGCCCCACACAGAAGAGCCCCACACAGAAGAGCCCCACACAGAAGAGCCCCACACACAAGAGCCCCACACACAAGAGCCCCACACAGAAGAGCCCCACACAGAAGAGCCCCACACAGAAGAGCCCCACACACAAGAGCCCCACACAGAAGAGCCCCACACAGAAGAGCCCCACACAGAAGAGCCCCACACAGAAGAGCCCCACACAGAAGAGCCCCACACAGAAGAGCCCCACACAGAAGAGCCCCACACAGAAGAGCCCCACACAGAAGAGCCCCACACACAAGAGCCCCACACACAAGAGCCCCACACACAAGAGCCCCACACACAAGAGCCCCACACAGAAGAGCCCCACACAAGAGCCCCACACACATGAGGGCCACACAAGAGGGCCACACACACACACACAAGAGCCACACACAGGAGCCCCACACACAAAGAGCCACACACAAGAGCCCCACACACAAGAGCCCCCCCCCCCCACACACACACACCAGCCCTCAAGCAGCGTGCGCCATAATCCATACACACACACCCAAACACCACCGTCTTATCCCGGCCAAACATGCAGGAGGAGAGAGAGAGACGCCGGGAGCCTCGACGCTACCAGGGAAAAAGTGTAATACGTCTTGACCCTCTTGACTGTTGTGGTCGATATCGCCGGCGCCTCCGTGCTTGTCGCAGGGGACCTTAATTACGGGTTTAAGTCCCCCCAAACACGCGCTCGGTAACCTGGTCACTACGGGAAGCCACGATCACTCGGTTACAAACGGTTGCACCTGATGCGTCTGTTCACCTAACGGTAAATATAGGTAGAAGCTGGGAGTTAAGACAGCTGCTTTGGCTGCATCTTAGATAGGTATATATGTGTGTAGAAAGCGAATATACATATGTGGGGAGTTATAATTGAGAAAAATAGGTCGGGAGTCAGTGCATTAGATAAGCGATGGTTAGAAAGGCGGGGTCCAAGAGCTAAGAGTTCAATCTAGGAATAAATGATATATTCAAATAGTATGTACACACACAGTATGTATGTACACAGTATGTTACGGTGACGCACAGTAACATACGATACTTTTCACTGTAGAAAAGTGGAAGTGTTGGAGAGGAAATTAGACACGCTCCTGTAAGAAATGCGAGACCCAACAGGGTTGTTGATTGATGAAGATTAATCCACCCAAGAGGTGGCACGGGCATGAATAGCCCGTAAATAGGTTGAAAGGTTGTTGCTCCGGCCCTTCTATTATCGGCGAAGCGATGAACCTCATACTCAGCAACTATCAAGAGCCGCCCAACATTCAGTTACATTCTATCACGTTCGAAACCCAGTGGGGACATCCAGCACATGACCCTAGCCACCACTGAATCGTAGGAGATGGGTATACTGACCCAAGCGAAAGGTCCTCTCACTGTCTCAGTCGCTTTATTGTATTCACTTCTGCACAGCCTTTGAATATGTTGACAAGGATCAAGAAAACATATCTCTAAGCGTGTGAGTCAATAATAAAACTGTAAAAATTTATTTTGAGAGTTCTTCTCAAAACTTCTACTATTTCTCAACTGAAGAACTTGAGAAATGTATAGAAGATTCGTGTTATATTCTTCGATCTCATCAATTCTGTTATATTCAGTAACATGTCTAATATAAAGACTTCCTATCTCTGTCTGCCTTTCCCTACCCATTCTCTCTCTCTCTCTCTCTCTCTCTCTCTCTCTCTCTCTCTCTCTCTCTCTCTCTCTCTCTCTCTCTCTCTCTCTCTCTCTCTCTCTCTCTCTCTCTCTCTCATCATCATCAAACCGCACATCAGAAAATTAAGAAACGACAACGTTTCGGTCCGTCCTCGCCCATTATCATGTTGTGTAGTGGTCCAGTCCTTTTCTTTCTGTCTCCCTGTCTATCTTTTCCTCTCTCTTTCCCTGTCTCTCTTTTGCTCTCTCACTCTCTCATTCCCTGTCTCTCTCTTTTCCTCTCTCTCATTCCTTGTGTTTCTTTTCCTCTCTCTTTCTCTGTCTCACTTTCCAATTCTATGTCTCGCTGTCTCTCAGAAAATTTAATATTAACATGCACTAAAAATCTCAACAGTAAAGAAATCCCCGATTTCGGCACTTGGGCCGACCCCGCCTGGCCTTGCATAATCCCCTCGTGTTATGTTGCAATGTTGGGTGAATCTATCCCTATACATCTGATTACATGATTACAAAATGTGTGGCATTAACATACACAGGGCCTTACACACACATTATGTATGTATGTGTGTATGTGTGTGAGTGTGTGAGTACTCACCTAATTGTACTCACCTAGTTGTGCTTACGGGGATTGAGCTCTGGCTCTTTAGTCTTGCCTCTCATCTATTAATATGCTGGTGTTCAAGTTGTTGACAGTGGTGATATCCTGGTCAGGCTATCAGAGATAACCTACATATTAAACACTCGTCCAGTTATCAACAAGCAGCTTGCACCTAGGCTTGTCCAGCCATATACAAGTTCAGGACAAAATTACAAATTTACTCCATTCTCACTCTCCCAGTCGTTGGCCAGCCAGAAATAGTTCCCAGATTAGTGAACACATCATTTTTGTACGGTTAGGCATATATATATATATATATATATATATATATATATATATATATATATATATATATATATATATATATATATATATATATATATAAACCTATTTCATGTTCATCTACAATCTACAGAAAGCTTATGATAGATATATTACTATAACACGACAATTATAATGATTAAAAAACAAATTATTTAAGTTTTTGTGTAGATTGTAGATGATGGACCTGAAAGATTTGACTCAAAATCAGGCCAAAAAAGGAAGTTGAACTGAAACGTGTGACTGGCCTTCAGTGTGCAAGCTATTGAGTCAAAGTTTTCAGAGAAACTTGAAGACACGATCTCATACAGGTGGTGGCAGTCCTCGAGAAGTTTAATGACCCGACCAAGTGAGATATTACCAAGACACGTGACACTCTTGAAATCTCCGACACTGTAAAGATCACTGATTTTAAGCTCTGGTGGTGTGAAGCCGTAAGGAATAGCTCCCAGCAACGGCAGCACGTGTTGTCTAGTGCAGTAAACACCACCACACACAGAGATCACACTAACGTGATGTATCAAATGAACAAATCCACAAGGGCCGTGACGAGGATTCGAACCTGCGTCCGGGAGCATCCCAGACACTGCCTTAATCGACTGAGCTACTGACTGAGAATTTGTTCAGTAAACACCACGGCTGAAAACCAGTTCATTTAATGAAGAAAAATTAGAAATAATCAAAAGACTTTCGCGTAGATTCTTTATTTATTTATTTTTATAATTCTGTTATTAAGGAACCCTAAGTAATATTCTTATTCCACCAGTTTCCAGCTAAATTATTTGAGCAGAATTTCCTGCATGTCATAATAAATGTTTTAACACGATTTTGCAATTGGCAGTATATCCCATTTACTTGCTTTTACGTAAGAGCATTAACCCATACTTTCAGTCGCATTATGCAGTTTTCCCAATTGGTTGACTCTATTTAGTCATGAACACCTACACAGTTTACGGGTTAACGTTACTATTGAAAAAAACAATTTTTGCTAACATAATATTGGGGAAGACAAAAGGAGAAACGAGGGGTTCTACATAGCAATGGTGTAGCCAATATTGTAGATACAGTTTGCGATACAGAGGTAGGGGATGGGGGGGGCCACACTCTGAGATGCAGAGAGAGAGAGAGAGAGAGAGAGAGAGAGAGAGAGAGAGAGAGAGAGAAACGCCAGGAGGAAGCTTGTATAAGATTAATAACATATTACACACAGGGAACACGTTACACGAGTTTATATACAAAGAAAATTTTTCATTTCTAAGCAAAGCCGCAAGCATTATAGTTCGACATAAGATAATTATCAAGAGAGAGAGTGCTGAACCGGTGTGACTAAGTTGGAAGACTTCCTAACCTCACATTAAGGTAGACAGGGTCCTTTGAAAATATTTGTATCCCAAGAAGCTGATCGGCAATCGTACTTCAGTTTGTTTCTATAAATTATACAACCTAAGGAGAACTATGAGGAATATATATACACTCAGTGGCTCCCCCGTTTATCTGTGTATATACACAAAGTTTGCATGTATATTGAACTCTGTTTAGGATGAAAGTATTCTTGCTGGTTGGTATGTTATGGGGGGTGACCCCTAGTAACCCTCCATAGGTTGTTTAGCTCAAAGCAGATAAAACTACTCGACTGAGTGAGTAGTCTCGACTACTCGACTCTATATAACACTAAGTGGTCGCACTTTGCTTAATACCAGTAATCAGAAAATCAGCCAATTGCATAGATCTTTGCATAATCGACTGATGTATTTACGATATGTGTACTCAGTCCCTTCAAGTGGGTATGGGTACTCAGTCCCTTTCAGAGGACACGTGTGTTCAGTCCCTTTAAGCAGACATGTGTACTCAGTCCCTCAGATAGTGGGACTAGCGTCTCACACGGGTCGTCTCAGAGTAGTGAGGATAGGAGCCTCTTGAGTGTCGTGTCGCTATTACCTACTGCCTTAAAATGTTAAGCGTCCTGAGGGGAAAATTGTATGCTCCCCTTGTCTCTCTTTTTCCGCGACACTCGCCGCCACTGTGTGTCTACACCACCACTCTGTCTCTTCACCACCACCAATGCTGTCTCTTTCTCTTCGCCAACACTCTTTCTCTCCAACCACCATCACTGTGTCTCATCGTCACCACCACCAACATTATCTCTCTCTCCACCACCAGAACCACATTCCACCGCCAGATTGTGGAAACAAAGGGGAAATTCTCACGGAAATGTACAAAATATGTGAGGAACTTCACCTGTGTGTAGGCTGAGGCTGTGAGAATAAACGTTGCCAGAAGAAACGTTGTCAGGCGAAACGTTCGATAACATGAGAACATCTGTGGAGCAGGGCAGCAGGATCGAACCACTGCTCTCGCTCACTCTTGATTCATCCCGTTATTGTGATTTCTTTGTGTATTAGTTACCACACGGACTGTAGATGACGTGTGGAAAACTCCCAGAGTAACTACAAATGCCACGAAATTAATAAAACTCGACTCTATATCACAATGGCTGATGCAGGAGGCTCCATAGAGCCTCCCCCCCCCCCGATCATTTTTGTGTAAATTTTTGTAAATTTGTTGGTAAATAAAACATAAACGTAGTCCCAATATACAAAACAGAGGACAGACAATAGTCACTATATTACACATCAGTAACAGTGACAAGAATTCTTCGTAAAGTGCTGGAAAAAAAGTAATCAGAATCTTCTTTACTAGAAGACTTCTTCACTAAAATACAAGAGTAAAAAGAAGACTTCTTCACTAAAATACAAGAGGAAAAAGAA